CAGCCCCGTGGCATGTGCACCCCTACGGAGACGCCGCACTGCTCTCGCCTCCTCCAGCCAGGTGAGGATTTATCAGGGAGTTTCAGGGACAACTCTACTTCTCCAAACACCTCAACAGGAGAAAAAGCTATAGTCATCATCTGCTCCTGCCCCTGTGGATCCTGCCTACATCAGCTAATGGGACCTGGAAAGCTGTACCAGCTAATTCCAGTCATTAAAAGGATTGCCCCGTGCCTTTAAAGGTCAATGGGAAAATGATAATTTAAAAAAAAAAAATATCAGTGCCCAGAGTGTAGTTCTTAATGCATTGATTTTCCCTGTAGGTGTTTCTCCTCTCAGCCTTTTTTCTGGGGAAAAAAGTCACCATATAGCTGTGCAAATGGGCCAAAGACTTAGAAATCAAGACAATACTAGGAGTTCAATGTTATTATTTGGTACAACGTCCAGTTTTCACATCTTAATTTACATTTCTGACATCTTTCTGCAGCCAGAAGCTGTGCTAACCAGACACTGTATTCCTATTACAAGACCAATTTATTAAAGTCAGGATCTCAAGATAGATTATTTCTTAATGGCTTTATGAAACACTTTTATTTACAAATGAACTCTATTTCTGGGAAAATCTCCTTCCCGTATCTTACGTGTTTGAGCTAGACATGAGAAGAATCCAAACTCCAAAGGAACATATTACAATAGTTTATAACCATATACCTCAAGTATAAAGGACATAATTTTCTGATGTCATTCATATGCCTGATCGACACTTCCTACAAATTAAAATTCTGCCCAGCAGCTAAAGTTTCTATACAACCAACAAGCTAAGCGACAATTTTATACTTTAATCTACAACATTTTCCAGTTATGCACAACAGATTTCCAGAATAAGTCTGGCTACAAATAAAACAAATTAGAAGAATGACCACAAAAAAATAAAATCAGCAACAGAAAACACTGGTTGTTTGGATTGCTAACACATCCCTTAGACCTAACGTCAAAGTGAAAGGTGCTGAGTTGTCCAAATGGATGGCTTTTTGGTGCTTTCATACTGTTACACAATCAGTTTACTTTCCTTCAATTAATTTATTACATCACTTCATAGTTCTCGTGTGAACCAGAATCCATAAACGTATCTGTTCTAAAGAAGGAAAGACACAGAGTAACACAAAACTGGGAGCTTAGACAAAATGTCCTTTTTTTCCCCCCTTCTATAGTTATCTGGTTTTTGTAGACTCATTCAACCAGACCATAAAA